CCCTCAACCCAAAAACCCAACCCCCAAGCCCCAACCGCCGTCCAGCCCTACAGCGAGGCTCCATGGGATGACTCTACTCATTTTCTACTCGGCGGTGGCCCAGGGCTTTGGAGTTGAGGGCCTAGGATTCAGGGTTTAGGGATTCGTGGGTTTAGGGTTTAGGGGTTTAGGGTTTAGGGCTTAGGATTCAGGGTTTAGGGGTTGAAAGAATAAAGTATTAGGGTTCTGGGTGAATTAAGTTAAATAGGTTTAAAGTTCAACGTATTAGAGTTCTGGATTAATTAGGGAAGTAGGGTTAAATTTTAGAGTATTAGGGTTCTGGGTTAAAGAATTAGGCTTGCTATTGCTTTCAGGGTTGTATACAGGTTCTGTACTACGGAGTGTATAGTTATAGCGTACCGGGTTTCCCCCCGGGTCCATGTACCTGTTACCGGGTTAGGGTTTAGGGTTTAGGGTTTAGGGTTTAGGGTTTAGGGTTTAGGGTTTAGGGTAGTTTTGGGTCTAAAATGTTACAGCTCCTTTCGGGTTCAGGGTTTAGGGTTTAGGGCGGGTTTTGACGGGTTCCCGGTCCCCTGCGCCGTTAAGTGTACACATTACTGTCTCACTGATGGCTTGTACATACGTTAATTTGGGCAATAATTCATGACTTTGGGTGTTGAAAACCCTTTCATAAACCCTAAACCCTCAACCTAAACCCTAAACCCCTAAACCCTACTCTAAACCCCAAGATTCGTCGATAGGCTTACAGGCCCCAAACCCATAACTTCGAATGAGTGCTTCTAGGCACTCTAAATCCAAAACCCTAAATCATAGGGTTCAGGGTTTAGGGGTTTAGGGGTCTAGGGGTTTAGGGTTTAGGGCCCCTGCGCCACGAACCTGCAGACCGTCGGAGGTGGTAAGCATCGTCCTGATGCCCCTTGTCGCCATTTGCGCCGACGTGGATCTGAGGTGGGGTTTAGGGTTTGGGGTTTAGCGACTCTCTTTGTGTGTTAGGTTCAGGGTTTCATAAACCCTAAATCCTAAGCCGTGCATGGCTTAGGGTCCCTGGTTCAGGGTGTTCTTCCTTTATTGGGCTAGGGCTTAAGGGTTACAGGCTTTAGGGTATATCGAGGGTTTAGAGTTGAAAGGCTCAAGGGGTTCAGAGCTTCATGGTTTTTGGGTTGAGGGTTTGGGGATTACGGTTTCGGGTTAAGGGATTAAAGGGCCTACGGTTCAGTTTCGAGTAAGTTCAAGATTGCGAGGCTTGAGCTTACCCATAGGCCCCATAGTAGTTCCTTTTTGGGGCTCAATATTCAGAATCCTATTAGGTAGCCCCAAAAAGAACTTCTATGGGGCCTATGGGTACTTAGCGGCCACTGGATGGCAACCTCGGTTCCCGATACCAGCATTGGTTGTTACGTGGCCCTGCACCCGTAAGCCCCAAACGCAAAGCGGCAGGAAGTGGGAGGCCTACAAGGAGGCTAACTACGAGAACCACTACGATATCTCGCTTCTGCCTCAGCTCTTGCTGCAAGGGAGTGGGCAGGGGTTGTGAGATCTGGCTGGTTGAGGCTTGAAAGAGACCCAAACAAGGACCTTGTGTAGTCGTAGCCCTGATACCTAGACCCAGACCAGAAACTAGAATATAGCGTCCAAATTCTGGTCTGATTCCTAAGGCTCCTCCAAACGGGGTGCCTGAAGGGTAATATAGGGGCCTCAATAATTACCTATAATATTTTGACTATAAAGGAGCCCAAAACCCTATATTAAGGCTCCTGCATTAGCGCGAGTGATGCTCGGAATGTTCGAAGCACCGAAGTTCCCAGACCGACGGGCCTTCGGAACTCGCGTCGCGCCTTATAGGTTTAGGGTTTAGGGTTTAGGGTTTAGGGTTTAGGGTTTAGGGTTTAGGGTTTAGGGTTTAGGGTTTAGGGTTTAGGGTTAGGACTTAGCAAGTATAGGCTATGTAATGAGTACCCGACATATAGTATAAAGTAGGATACCCTATAAACATCTTACAACCTGCTTGCTAAGTTCCAACCCTACAATACGCCAAGTTAATCCCTTTTGCATCATACTCGTACAGAGGAGCCCAAACCATTTTTTCAATGGTCTAGGTTGCATGCATCGGCTTGTTGAGATTGTAACCCTAGACAAGAAATGGTGGTTGGGCTTTAGGGTTCGTATCCCGTGACTAACCTATACCCGTTTCAGCATCATCAAGGTGATACTCTTATACAAACCTTGTATCCCAAAACCCGTATGATTCGCTTCAGAGGCACTAAACGCAAGAAACACCCGACAGGCTTTAGGTAAACCCCTACAACAAAACACGGAGCCCCTAAACCCCTACAGCTTCAACCCTAAACCCTAAATCGTTGAAGCCCTAACCGCAACGCTTTAGTGACCGGACACCCCTGGTCCCGGCTTCCTAAACCCTAGACCGCGGTTTAGGGTTTAAGGTTCAGGGCATCCGAGACCCTAAATCCTAGACAGGCACGAGATGCAGGAAAAGTTTCCTTTCCTGGGCAACCTGCACCTTCCCTCGCCCTCGCAGCAGAGCGCCTCGGTAGAATCTTCAGCGATTGCTATGTTCAGCATTTAGGGTTCGAGGGTATTTATTTGTTGGGTTTAGGGTTTAGGGTGTAGGGTAGACAGATATTTACAAGTAGGGTAGCTGGGGGAAGTCTTAAGTCTTAAGCATGGCGAGGTTTGACTCATTCAGGGGTGCTCATGTGACTTTGCTGTTGTCCTGTGAGATTTTTGTGGATGGGATACGAGCGATTCCTCCTTAAAAAAGCCCTACATAAGAAGCCCAGTGAAACTCGCACAAAGTCAAGTATTTTCCATATCCCCAAGTCATCCACGTCGAACCCAACAGCTCATTTGCCTGGTCCTCTCTAATTCCCCGTGGACACGCCCATCAAAGCCGTATGAGCCCTGTGAAAACCCTATGAGACCATTGCACAAGCCTGTTTATAAAGTCAATCCAAGCCTCCAAGCCAGGGTTTAGTGATATTTAGTGTATACACCCTAAACCCTAAACACTTAACCAAAGCCCTAAGCCTCTAAGCCCCTAAACCTGCACCCTAAACCCTAACCCTAATGTGCTCGTAAAGCTTCGTAGCAAATGTTGGCCCTGACCCCACAGTATGGTTAGGCTTTCGTGCCTACACTTTAGATTGTAGCATTGTTTATTGGATATGATACGATGGAGAAATCAAAGGGGACTATCCGCCAAAAAGTAGTACCTCAAAGTCGTCATGTTAAGTTGCGCGAATTGACAAACGGAGTCCCGAAAAGGCTGCTTCTTCATCCCTTCAACAGGATTTAAGGGTTTAGGGTTTCCCTACATCCTAAACCTCTCAGCCCTAAACCCTAAACCCTTAAGCCCTAAACCCAAAGCCCTAAGCCGTGACCTGAGGTACACCGCACGGCACGCCGCTGACGTCCCCACACGGTGGATGGCGGCAGATTCCTCAAATGCCCTGGCAACACTGATTTTCTCTAGAGGCCTTTACGGCTAAGTTAGGGTTTAGGGTTTAGGGTTTGGGGGTTTCTGTACTTGGAGGTTCATGGGTAGTTATAAGTGAGGTTATAAGTAAGGTAACTATAGTTATAACCCATATTAGGGGACTTACAGCCCCACTTATAACTACCCAAAAACTATGGGTTTTATGGTAATATACTATATTTGGGTCATGCAGAATTTTTGTCCATCAACCGTATAACCCGACTTATAGCTACCCAAGAACCTCCAAGTAAGGGTGCTTGTTGAAGGTTCGCTGCAAGGATCCTCCGGGGTTTAAGGATGTCGGGCCGAAGCCTGTGCGCGGGGTAACGGGAGTTTAGGGTTCAGGGTTCAGGGTTTAGGGTTTAGGGTTTAGGGTTTAGGGTTTAGGGTTTAGGGTGTTTATAGCAACTCGCCCCCCATAGGAAGTGCCAAGACCAGCCAACACCAGAGCCCCTCGTCGAGTCTAGTCACTTAGGGTTCCCCCCACCCAACCCCAATCCCCGAACCCCCTGCCCCCTTCGATTCAGGGTTCAGGTTTTAGGAGTTTTAGGGTTTAGGGTTTAGTTCTTAGGGTTTAGGGTTGAGGATTTAGCTCTTAGGGTTTAGGGTTTAG